TTAGAAGCACTGTTTTACACTGGAGTTGAGAGGGCAACTCCAATAGAAACCCGAGATTCCAGAACTGTTAAACATAGATATAAGTGTTGATATAAGATACAGATGTCTGCCACCAAAAAAAAAAAAAAAAAAAAACCACAGAATCAACTAAGACTCATAGGGGCTGACAGAGATGGGGAGATGGGATTCTAACAGTGGGAACAGGGGCTGCCTCCAACTCTTTTACAAGCCTTTGTAACCCTACTCCTCACACTGGGTCACCTTGATCAGCCTTAATATAAAGGAGGTACCCAGTCTTACTGTAACTTGATATGCCAAGTTTGGTTGATATCCATAGGAGCCCTGCCCTTTTCTCAACAGAAACAGAGGATGAATGGATGGAGGGAGGAGAGAGGTACTGGGAAGAGGAAGGAGGAGAAACTACAGTCAGGATGTAATATAATAATAATAACATTTAAAAAGAAGATACAGATGTCTCAGTGCTCAGGAGGCAGAGACAAAAGGATCCCTACATGTTCACAGCCAACCTGGGCTAACTGGGAGACTGATTCCAATCTGGGCTACAGAGTGAGACACCCTGCTTCCAAAAACAATAAACAAAAAGATACAGATGGGAATACAGATGAGATGAACTGCAGACTAAGAAGAACTGGCCAAGACACACTTGTGAGAGGAGCAAGTGCTGTCTGTGAGCCGTTGCAGAAACCGTAAAGCAAGGCTTGCTGGCACAGTCCTGCAATCCCAACACTAAGGAAGCTGAGGCAGGAGGATCAGAGCTCCAGGTCAACCCAGGATACATAGCAGCATCCTGTCTCCCCCCCCCCAAAAAAGTGATCAACACAGAGATTAGAACTCATAAGCTAGGGAAAGCAATTTAACTTGCACTTCCTGGGCCAAAAGGATAATAATAGGTGTACATGATAAGATTGTTGAGAAGATTAAGTAAGCAGGAAATTATGTAAATCAAATTCAGCAACTGAAAAACTAAAGGAAGAGGGCAAAACAAGTGGTGTCATAAAAAGCAAAGGCTGCTTAAGACAGAATCTGTGAAAGGAACTAGTCAGAATATGTGAGCAGATGTCAACAATCCAAGATGTAGGAAGGTGCAGTGTACAGCTTGCCAAGGACACTAGCTGGGATGGTGTTACCTCAGTGGGAAAAGCGTGCAAGGATGGATGCCTTCCTGCTTGTTCTTTCCCTCCACCTTCAATGCTGTCCTCCCTTTGGCCTTTGTTCGGGTCACCTCATCAAAGACATCCCTGAGGCTATCATAATGGCATCTATCTATCTCTCTATCTATCCCCCCACCAAAACTGTTTTCTGTCATGTCCAACAATTATATGCTTGGTTACTATTAGTTTCAACCATGAGATAAAAGATTGTGTTTTCTGAGAAATCTCCAAAACCTAACCACAGTAGGCTTTCAATAAATGTGAATTAAAATAAACCTGAACTGAGCCACTGAAATAGTTCAGTAGGTCAAAGTCCTTGCCTGGATTCCATCCCGGGGCCAAATAGTGGGGAGAGAACCAACTCCTGAAAGTTGTCCTATGACTTCCCTATGTATACAATCGCATGTGGATATAAGAGCACACACAGAGAGAGCACACAAAATAAAAATGTAACCAAAAATGTTTAAGGAAATGAGAGACTAATTAAGTGAAACAAGAATGCACTCCAGTGCACTTTATGAAAGACTTGCATACAGAGAGCCAATACTCTGCAAGGCTGGCAGTTCCAAGCCCAGACCTTAGAAAGAGCTATTATCCCGCAGCATACCCAATGCACTACAAACCTCAGACTTCAACAAATTACTTTGTTTCTGTGACAAAACAGGGCAACAAAAGAAGTTTTCACAAAGTTCAATTCATACAACTAAAGTACTAGTCCTTTGAGATGTTCCTTCTGTTTGAGACCCCTATAACAACTCCTCCATTGATATTGATAAGTGATAACAGTTGCTAATTATTCCTCCACAGACACTTCTATTTGGCAACATAAAAAAAAAAAAAAAAAAAACTTGGCAACTCTATGCTGGACTTCACTTTTTTCTTTAAACAGATCAATGAAATCCAAACACCTGAAACCTCTGCTCTGAAGCAACCCATCTTTGGCAGGCTAAAGCTCTTAGAGCATGGCTAACCAGTTGTCTGGTGTATTGGAACACCTCTGATGACAAGCACTTCCAGTGATGCAAAATCACCCACTGAAAACTGATAAGGCTGCACCTGAGGCAGCATTACTCGGCTGAATGAAAAGAAAGCAAGACTGCATGGCCAAGGAGTGTATGGCAGCTTGGGAGACAGAGCTAGGAAGAAGGGATATCAAAGGGATTCACACAATCCAAACCTCACAGTCTTCCATCAGCCTAATAATTAGGAAACTCCTTTATGCAAATAACTGTAAAGGCTGAATCATGAAAAGTACCCCAGAGGTCAAGGCTGTTCAGTTTTCATTCCTTTTGCACAGCTCCATTTACTACCTCAAATTTCCTAAGGCACTAATTTTTTGATCGGAACTAAATCACCTAGACCTCTAATGAAACAGAGCTTAAATGCCATGAATATTCAAGTACACAAAAAGACAACAAGAAATATGAAGTACAGTGGCAATCAATGAGACTCCTCAAAGTATGAGAAAAAGTTGAAGGCAGTGTGGAAGAGGCAGAAAAGAGATCAAAATGAGGAAATAAGAAACTAGGCAGAGGTGCCTACCACCCCTCCCAATAGACTAAGGGAATAAGTCTACATAGGACAATGTAGACTTAGCACCGTGGCAATGGCATCCAAGAATTTACACACTGAATGAATTACTAAACAGACACACAAAAAGAACTCTGAATCCCTGCTTCCAACCATATTATCAAGGCCCTTTAAGTCCAGGTCAAATACCCTTCTTTGCCTTGAAGCTCAGACTAACACTCAGTGCTTATAAAAACCTGAGTGCTCCCAGTGACTTCCAGGTGTCTCCATCTTCACCTAGCTCTATCAGGAAACCCAGCAAATCCAATTGCAAAGACCTCACCTGCAATCTTTTATGTGAGACAGCATGGTCCAAAGGGAAAGGAAGTGAATGGGAATAAAGGCAAAGAAGGCAGAGGGTAGGAAGCCAAAATCTGTTTCTAATCTACCGAAACCTAAGCAGCAAGGCAACATCTAGAAAGGGGTTGACTCTGGAACTACCTAATGAAAATAAAATCTATTTTTATATTAATCAAATGAAAGATGCTTCTATGATTCTTTCCTCCAGCACAGCACTCCGGGTTTTCTCCTCCACCTCAAGCCTCTACCTAGTTCCAGACCTACAGATGAAGATTCGTACTAAAGAATGGAGCTGGACTTCCATTTCATTTCTTCCACTTAAACCATTTTCTATGTGTGGCCCCCTCTAGGGCCTGTTTCTCCACACACTTTTTTTTTGAACCTTCATTCTTCCTAAGGTCCTCTTGTTCTGTCCTTCAGTTCTCCCTGCTCCAAAAGTAAAAAGGGACAGCACTTAATGGATATAAAGGGAACAGTGGAAAGGGTAAGTTCACCATAAGTAACTTACCTATACATTCTACACCACACACAGTGTGTTTTCTAGATGCAGAGAGTATATTCCACCACCAAAGCAACTGAGCCTGGTCTGAAAAAACCTCATGGGCTGGTACACTACACTCAAGCTGCTGAAGCTCCTACAGCTATGTTTCCCAGGGGGCTCAGGATGCTTTCCCAACCTGCTGGGGAGCACATCGCACACTCTGAAAGCCACCACCATCAGCAAGCATCTGATCCCTGGCTTTTTCTATCACTCCTACCAGCCCAGAAGAGGCAAGCCAAGACTCCTGTCACCCACTCTTCAGATCCCCGTGACCTGTTCCACTCAAGCTCAAAATCCTGTAAGGCACATACATACTTGCAGAAACTGTGGCTCTATAATCCTAGTCGATCTTATAAAAGGACTCAAAATACAAAAGAAAAAAAAAAAAAAGAAAATGTTCAGCCCAAAACCAAATAGCCTTATTTTAGCTGGAATTCTGCCAAATAGCCACAAGAGGCTCGCGAGGAACAACTGTGATGGAGTGAAGCTAGCCAAATCTCATTGAAAACCGATAAGGTTCCATGAATCTGATCGAACAAAAAGGTGCATACTCGTCTTTTTACAGTGAGCTTTGTCTGCGGTTTGAAAAGTCAGATCCAAAGGACTCTCTGCTCCTTCGTAAAGGTTAAACTGACGAAGGGGGGGGGGGCGGAATGTTTAAACTCCTGGAGATTTACAGGCCACTTTTATAAAGGTGTTTTAAAAACAAAAACCCTTTTTCAGCCCTTATTTCTAGAAAGTAATTTTGTTGCAGGTGATCTTGCATGTACTCGGGCACCAAGGGAAAAAAAAAAAAAAAAAAAGACACCTGTGCCTAACAGGTCGGTAACACTAACAACGTGCCCAGGGTACCAAGGGAACGAGAGATGCTCTGATTTCTGGATAAAAGATTTTCTGCAGTGCCAGGTAAGAGATCACATGCCCTAAAACGGCCGCAGCTCATTTGGAGCGATGTAAAAGCTCCTTGGATATTAATTTTATTAGAAATTCTGAGAAGCAAGCAACCTCAGATCGCATTCATTTTAGACTCCAGGCGTCTGGTACTTTCCAGTTTCCTGTGCATCCTTTCGCTCCCTACTAGAAAGGGTGGGCGAGCTGGGCAGCAGCACCCCATGCATTACAGGGGGGTACCCAGGGGCGATCGCAGTCGTGCATTCCCCCCCCCCATGCCCTACGCACAGCCCCTTCCTGAACGTTCCATTCGCCCCGAGACCGGGACGCCCCTACCCATGCCAGCCTGGCCAGGCAGAGTCCGGTCCCGCGGTCACCCTCCGGACTGCGGGCGCCGCGCCCCGTCACGCCCCGCGCCTCCCATCGCCCGCCGCCCCCCGCGATCGCAGCGTGTCCTCCGCAGCGCCGCGCGCCCTCCACAGCCACACAGCCCTCCGCCGCGCGCCCCGGGGCGCCCGCTCACTCACGCGGGAGGCAGCGGCGGCGTCTCCATTGTGGCTCCTCGCGGGCTTCAGAACGCAGGCACCGACCGCCGCCGCCAGCACCATTCCAGCCGCGGACGCCGGCACTGTCCGCCCGCCCAGCCGCGTTCCATCCGCCCCGAGGGGGCGCAGCGCTGCTCACCGCGCGCCACCACCTGCGGCGGCGGCCCCCGCGGCCATGGCCCGTCGGCCCCGCGCGCTCCTGTGCCTGGCACGGTTCCCGCGCTCCCCCGTGTGCGGGGCGGCGGCGGCGGCGGCGGCGGCGGGACGGGCGAGCGCGCTGCTCGGCCACTTCCGGGTTCTCCCGGCCGGCGCCGACGCCGTGACGGGCGGGCGGGCGCTGCGGCCTCCCGCGGCGGAGGGACCCCTCCCTCGGCGCCGCCCCTTCCTCCGCGGCGTCTGGAGGAGGAGGCGGCGGGCGGGCGCCCGGAGGGACCGGGACCAAGGCTGGAGGATGGGCGGCGGGGAGGGCTGGTGCGGAAGGGTGCTCGCCTGTGCACGGCTTGCTCTGATTCACCGGCGTGTTCACGTCCTCTTTGCGTCGGTGTGTCTTCCCCCCACCCCGGACAGGCCAAGCACTGCCTTTCCAAAGGGGGAAACCGAGGCAAGCGAAAGAGAGAGATCGGCTTGCCTTTGCAAAGGAAGAAACCGAGGCGAGAGAGAGAGGGAGAGAGAGAGGTTGGCTTGAAGCCAGGGCTCTTTTCCTGGGTGTCCCTAATCCGGTCCTTGGACAAGTGAGATGAGCACCTGCGAGGCAGAGCTTGGGGACGTGACTGAGCAAACGCAGGTCGCTGAGTTTAGCAAGCTGACCATTTGGACGTGGTAAGAGAAACAATGAGCACAGGATGGATGCCCACTGTGAAGAAGAATACATTGCAGTGAGGTTAGGGCGTGCTGTAAGATGATGGGTGATCAGGAAAAGGCCTTCCTGAGGTATCAGTTAAACAAAGATGAATCCACATGAACCTTGAGTAACGAAAAGGATGCATGCCCAGGGCTAAGGCAAAACCAGTGAAGATCCCTGTCGGCAAGATGCCTGTCAATATTGAGGAAAAGCTAGGGTGGGGATTCTCCACCAATGCCTGCTAGATAGAGGAAGGAGCACCTGAGAACTTAGAGATGGGAATTCTCCAGTTCCACACCAAACTTACTGTATCTGCAACCTCCAGGTAGAGCCAGGATTCTCTGCTTGAAGGAGTCCTCCAGATGGTGCTGGTGCCTGCTAAGGTCTGAGATTCTCTACTGTAGCTGAGGCTGAGTGAGACCCCATGACTGGCCAAATGCTTCGGGTTAGTTGTATCAAGTGATACACTCAGAGAGAGAAAAGAGCCTACAAGATTGGCCTAACCTGAATGCAAAGGAAAAATGGCCTGAGCCAGTCATTGATGCGGTGCCATAAGCCTTTAATCCCAGCACTTGGGAGACAGAGGCAGGAAGATCTCTGTGAGTTCGATACCAGCCTGGTCTACAAGAGCTAGTTCCAGGACAGTCTCCAAAGCTACACAGAGAAACCCTGTCTCGAAAAACCAAAAAAAAAAAAAGGCCTGGACTGGAGTCAAAGTGATTGAAAGAAGTCTTCAGATCCTAGATGATAAAACAGTAGGAATTGCTGATGGGGGTAGGTGTAAGAGAAAGTGATGTCTGAGATGGTTTTGATTTGCTTAGACTGGAGAGAGTGAGAAATAACAAGTTTCAGGGAGGGGTTGTATTTTAGACTTTGAAATAGAGTAAGTTGAGATCTTTGATAAACACTTTAAATGATAGTTGTAAATGATGGAGGTTGTCCCACATGGATGGCAAGTAAAGTCATGGGACCAGTGAAATCAGCTCTGTAATGTAGATACAGAAACAAAGACCCAGAAATGAGCCCTGGGCCACTCCAACATTAGTAAAATAAGATGGGGGCCAAGATGCTTCTCGGGACAGAATGCTTGGCTGGGAGGCACAAGAGTTCATCCCTAGCACTGCCAAGCAATACATAAGTGAGATGATGCTCCAAGTGGTGGTGTGTGCCTGTCATTCCAGCACTCTGGAAGCCAAGCCAGGATGCTCACTAATGGCCTATTTTAGTAACAGAAAATACCGCTTGGCATGGGCTAACATCCGCATCCTGCTGCCGGTACTGAGTTGCCATACCTCAGGCCTACATGATGGTGTCTTTCTTTGATATTAGTGATGGATTTGTCTAAGAAAGCTTGCTTTATAAAGTAAAAACTGAACGAAGTGACAGATGTAAAGCGTGTCTGAGCTCACTAGTTCAGGGTTAGCCTGCGAGTTCCAAAACCCTGCCTGAGCAACTTAGGGGGTAAATTGAGTTAAATTAAATAGGGGCTGGAACTCTGTGATAGTGCCTCAAACATACAAAGCTCTACTTTCTAGTCCCAGCACTGATAAGAAAAAAATAATGTAAAGGATGTGTCAATCTGCTAAGGGTATACTTCAAATGATAACCCTCTCTTTATCTCTCCTCCTGGTTCAGCTTTATCCACCACAATTTTCTACTTAATGGGTCTAATCCATTCTAAATACCTAACCAACATGTTTTTCATCACCACTTCACTTGTAGGTTTCAGGAGTAAACCTAGAAGGGATGCCTTTTTTTTTTTTCCATATGAAGTTCAGTTTTAGGGTTCAACATCAGTCTGAAAGCCTAGAATCCTAGTGGCAGTACCAACTAGCTCTCCTTTTCTCTAGACTGGAAGAAGAGCTGGTATCTGCATCAGGCAGGGGCTAATCATGTGTCTCACTTAAAGATCTTGAAACAGTTTGAAGATGTTAATTCACACTGAGCCTTTGTTTTTTCCTGGGGAAGGGGAAAAAAACCAGTCAGAACCCTGGCTTTCAGTCATAAAGCCTGGGATCAATAGCAGTTTATAAGGCCAACTCCTTCCCCCCCCCCCGTGTGTGTGTGTGTGTGTGTGTGTGTGTGTGTGTGTGTTTATTTTGTTTTTTGAGACAGCATCTCACTGTGAAGTTCTGGCTGCCCTGGAACTCACTATATAGACCAAGCCTCCAGCTCACAGAGATCCAGCTGCCCGCCTCTACCTCCCAAGTGCTAGTTCCATTTCCATTTTTAAGTGGGCCAAGTATCTTCAAAATTAGTCTTGGGTTAGATGTAGCCACAACACTTAACCCTATGTCCCCATTCACAAGAACAAGTATATAAAAACATTAAATGGGATGAACACAAATCCATCAACAGGGAAGGTGGCAGAGAGAACTGTCCATTCACCATCTTCTTGGGAATGCTACTCAAGGCCACCAAAGACTTCTGGTTCCCTGTTAGCATTGGCTCAAGAACTGACACAGCTTAAGACACACAGCTGTTTAACCTTTCTCTGCTTGGGATTTTACCTTCCTCTGGGAGGGAGGAGAATGTGATGCTAGAGATGGACCAGGGCTGGCCATGAGCATGGAAACCAAATGTTACATCATTAATCCTAAACGGCAATATTTGGTTTCTTTGTGGTGCTAGGGATCAAGGGATTGAACTATCCAGGGATTCTTTCATTCTCCGTTGCTGGTTTACACTCCTTGCCCTTGATTTTATTGAAGACAGGATTTTGCTGTATGTCCAGGCAGCCATTGAACTTAATATTCATCCTTAGACCTCCTGCCTCTGCTTCCCAGGTACACAGTTTTCCAGCATGTGCCACCATGTCAGCCCTTGATTTCTCTTACTTTTTCCTTTTAAAATTTTATTTTTATCCTTTCTGTGTTTTGCAGGAGGTTGTCTGTGTATAGGTATTCACACATGTATGCAGCTTCGCAAAGAGGCCAGAAGAGTAGGTTGGTCACCTGGAGCTAGAGATACATGTATTTGTGAGCCACAATATGGATGCCAAGAACCAAACCCAGCCTGCTGTAATAATAGTATGCACTCTTAATATCTGAGCATCTTCCCAAAGCCCTGATACTTCTTTATGAGTCCTTCCCTCTTGACAAAGGGATGAAACCTCATAAAAATACATCCATTTATTACATTAGTGAAATAGAACAGTCCCTACAACATTAGAATCTAAAACTAATGTAATATTGCCAGACTAGATAGATCACTTGTAAAGAAGATGGAACCCACAGATGATCAAGGGCTTGGCAGTAGCAGTGCTGAGAACTATTTAAACAGAGTTGAAATTGAATGTTGTACTAGAGCTAATGGCAGGACATGTTGGGCACAAACATTTGTGCTATGACAAGAATGTCAGGGCTGAGGATGCCACTGTGAGGAAAAACCTCCACACCTCTATAAAACATCCAACAGATCCTCCATTGGAAATCCCTTCCACTAGGAAGATGGAAAGTACAAAAAAAAAAAAAAAAAAAAAAATCACCATGTCAAGTGGGTTGGTTGGACTCTCTGCTTCAGACTAACAGAAAAACAATTGATCCAAGATGTCTTTTGTGCCTGTGACTCCAGTTTACTCTACAAATGCTTGCTTCTTTGTTTTTATGTTTTGAGGTTACCAAGTGCACCTCCAGCATGACACACCTGCCCATTAGCCCGAATCTAAAGTGCCCAGAGAAATGAAAGAAAATTGTTTGCTGTGAAGTTTAATTGAAAAATCTGCTTGAAATGGTCCAGGAAGTAGCCCAAAATAGGTTTCACACTAATGTATATCAGGTAAGCATTTTCTGTGCCTTTTAAAGAAAAGAAATAGACTTAATCTATTTTTACTTGTATATATAGTATCTATTTGTGTGGTCTGGTGATGTAATGCCTCATTATAGAATTATCTAGAACTAAACATCTTTCTACATGGTCAGCAGTCCTGGAGGAAAGAGAAAGCGAGACAGCATTCTTGATGAATTCTGGGAAGTACTATTAGCTTGTTGTCATTCGTCTCAGATGTGCACATGCATGCACTTACAGGAACATCACCCACAGCTCTGGTTGCCCCTCACAGGGGAGTGTGAATATAGACCCTAAGCAGGTTATGAAATCTGTTCATTTATGTGCCATCATTCTTCACATTCTCTTTCTTCCTTCTCTTACTGTAGCCCTCACTGATTACAGACCGTCTGTGTTTTCTTCTCCTATTCCAGTGACAAATTGTGTTGATCTGGTATCAGTGAGCAGAGTGATTATGGGGTCATGCTCTAGTATATAACTTAATATTAAGTTATGTTGAATATAA